TTTTTTTTTTTTTTTTTTTTGCACTGTCTTCAATTTCTCCATTTTCTCTGTGCTTTCTAATTTTTTTCTATCAGCTCTTTCTTGATTCCTGGAGCAGTATTTATCTTTCTCTTCACTAAGTAGTTTTCCAAGTGTCCCAATTCCATGTACTACAGTAGAGCCTATATTTTGCTGCTGGCCTTTACTCTCCTGTTTTAATCTCCTCTCTGCCTCTGTGTTCATATTTTTCTACTTTCTTTTTGATATTATTTCTCTATAATGGTGAGAATTTTCAGAACTGATTTCATTTCTGAAACTCAAAATAAGAAAATGAGGCCCAAAAAAGGCTAAGCAACCTGTCTCAAATGTCCCAGCTAAAGATAAGGGAGCCAGAATTTGAACCCAGGTCTGACCAAGCAACTCAAGAGCAGTGGTTTTGCTAGCATGTGATGGTTCCTTTACTTTTTCAATGCCAACTTGAAGAAGTCTGGATCTTCAGACTCACACGTATAAGGGTGCCTACCTTAGGAGGCTGTTAAGGGCAGAATCTAGCCCTTGTCCTGCTTGGGAAGTCATGCGTCTTGGCAGGCGGCTATATTTCTAGAAGGTAGGATACCACTAAAATAGCACAAAAAGCTACTAGGAGCCTGTCTTCCTACTATTATGTGATTAAAATGCCCCCTTCATAGTCAAATTGGAATTACATCTGCAAGTTAGCGTGTTTGTACCCTGCAAGTAGGTGCTGTTTTTCTGGGTAGCCTGCATTGCTATATATCTTTAAGGTGAGGGTAAAGGAACAATTACTTGTCCATGGTTAAACACATAGTAGTGTAATACAAAGGTGGAACAAAGTCAGAGTCATCCTTGTTCGCTCTAAATTTGGGAAAACAGATTATTAGATCAAAGAAAAAGGGCCCATAATGGTAGATAAAATCTTTCTTCATATCATATTCTTATCATTGGTTATTTCTTTGAATGGTTTCCCTTCACGTATTTTTTTTTTTTTGCCAAAAATGGTTCGAGAAGTTATTGGTAAATGAACAATAAAATATTCAGTGATTAAACTTAGATCCTTCATTTTACTTCAATTGTTTAAGCACATGACAGTATATTTAGGTTGTCATACCTGAGAACATTGAGTAGATGTCAACATTCTTTTAAAATATACATTTATATTATGAATGTATGCTGCTGCTATTATTAAATTTTCATAGGGAAAGTTGGCAAGAGTTAGAATTATTAGGTAACAAATCAATTACTTATGTTAGCCAAAAGTCCTAGCAATTGTGATAAAATGAAGTGGCCATAATATATTGGATAATATCTGAAATGATCTGTTGCTATTTTCCAGTTCTAAAGAATTGAAAATTACCAACTGATTTACCATATTATGATTCTTCCCTGCCCTTTCTTAGTATCGTCCCTCTTTTTTTTCTTCTTCTCATGTTTTTCTGGTCCATATCCTCTCCCTTCCTTCTTCCTCTCTCTTTGTTACAAACAGGAATATTAAGTAGGTCCTGCTATTTTATATATTCCATTTAAATTTTATGAAATATCAAATATTCTATTAAATAAGGATTCTATTCAATCCCTTAACACAACCATTTTTCAAACTCAAAATTCAAGATATTATACCTAATAGAAATTTGCTAGATTTCTTATAAATTCTTATAGTAGATTAGCACAATAAAAATAAATGCTAGTCAGAATATTGTTTTTTAGCTATAACTGCCAGTTCATAAAGGATTCCAGAAGAAATATATGTTAGCTTTCACTGTAAATGGATGGTTCCAAGCATTTTAACAACCCTAAAAATGTCTTTTCACCTTATATCTAACTTATTATCCTAAGATTATAAAATAAGCTATTTCAAAACAAAGACAATATTGAATTAGTTTACACAGGGATCAATTATTGATTTGTGTTATACTATGAAGACTATCTTAAATTCCTGTCTTTCTTAAATTTAAGAGCTACATTCAACTCACAATCTTGCCTAAAATTTCATTAGTAGAGATTTATGTCTTTGGGTTAAGCTTTATCCCTAGAAGGAATTAATTAAAAGATTCTGGAAGTAGTAGCTCATTAAGTCTGTACAATCACTAATTATTATAATAGTCATTTTTTGGAATATGTACTAGGTGCTAGAAACTACATGGCTGTCTTTTAAATATGATCTGTTACCTTTGCAATAATTCTACCTATCAGAGGTCAGTTTTACCATTTTATAGTTGAGAAAATCTAGGAGAATATAAACTACATTATAAGAGACAGAATCAAGAATCAAACATAAGTATGCTTGATTCATAGCCTTATCAACTTCCTATAGAGACTGGTCTTTGAAAGCATGCCAAAAATACTCTGATTAAAGATTTTTGAGAAAAGGCAACAAAGGGTGAATGGGAAGGACTACAAAGACAAAATTAAATAGACTTCCATGGTTCTATTGATTACCAGCACTGAGCAACTATTGTCTCCTACCTAGTTCTTGTTTGAGTTACCACTCTTTCTTCTTTAAACATTCATGAGATTTGATGGTGCTTTAAATGGATCTTGCAGGTATTGTTTGGTGACAAAATGTTCTCCCCTTACACATCATTTAACCACTTCCTTGCCACCAAAGTGTGCGGTAAGAAGATATTCCATCCTGTGTGCAGCAAGTTCCTATTTACTCTAACTGGACTTGATTCAAGAAACTTAAACATGGTATGTATTAGTAGATGAATCTGAGAATGTGATAGTTTTGTAGCACACAGATAATGCGAGTCCACTCTGGATTGTACAGAAAGCACATTTTAAGGTATCTTTTGTCTCATGGAATGCAATCAGTATTCCTTGGCTCCCAGATCAAGTCTGAGGCTCTCCCAGCTGCAGTAGGATGATTTGAACAGAAAGATTTACTGCTATAAGTTCTCACCAATGCTTGATGTTGACTGCAATGAAACCACTAAGTCTTTCTATTAAATTAGGGCTATGAGGGCCGGGGATTTAGCTCAGTGATTCAGTGGCCTGCCTTGCAAGTGCAAGGACCCAAGTTCAATCCCCGGTACCAATAAATAAATAAATAAATAAATAAATAAATAAATAAATAAATAAATAAAAGTAGGGCTATGGCTTTAGCTTGGTGTCCTGTCTCTTATCTAATGATGTGGACATGTATTTACCAGTTTCCCATATCAAAAAGTTATTTGGAAATAATTGTTCTGTGAGTAACTCCTTATTCAAAAGGTTTATATCCCTTCTCCCTCTGGCCTGCTTGGGCCCAGTTGGTGGAACTGGGTAGCCATGCCCTCCCTTGCCTGCACTGCTATCAGCTCCAGCAAGGAAGGTAGCCACATGGGCACCCTGGAAACAGCCCCAAGCCCCCCCAGACTTCCTAATTGTGCCAGTCCTTGGACCTACTCTGCAGAGGCATAGGTGGTCATAAAGGGTATTTTTCTGAGCTTCCAACTGTGAACATCTTTAAAGAGAGAGCAGAGGGAACCGGTAGTAGAACTGTGTGGAGCTCAACCCTGCAGGAGGTCAGGGAACTCAATTTGGGCCTTGCAGCCCAAAGCCAGTCTGAATCCCAGGGGTCTGCCATCAGCTGGCTGAGATCAAAGGATTTAGTTCTGCACATGGCTGTGCATGTTGTATATTATGACAACAGAGATATCAGAATGAGGCCCTTCAAATTCATTTTTTTCCTTCTTTTCTTCATTCCACTCTGAAAATTCTTTCTTTTTTCTGTCCTCTTTCTCCAACACAGTCTCTTGCTCCAGCATATTATCCCTCATCCCCTTTTTGTTTCTGCTCCTGCCCTAATTCAGATTTCTTCCTTTACCATTTTTTCTTTTTTCTTTATGTTCTTTTCTTCTGTCATTTTACCTCATTCAAGGATCAATAGTTTCAAAGTGGTTGTATTCTTGTCCTTATTCTTGCACTCTGTCTTTCCCTTTTGAATTTAACAGTTTTCTAAAGGTTATATGGTGGTTCTATGTCATATGGCTTCACTTGGAACCCTCTCCATTTTTTTTCTTATCTACTCCTCTCATCATAACTCTGTCTAAGCCCCCATCCTAAATGGTAGAGATGCTATATTGAAGAGTTTATTCACTGCAAACATATTTTGGGCTACTTCTTGATTTTAATTTAATTCACATGGTTCAAAGGTGATAGATTAATGACTACCATGAATGGTCAATTTATAAGTTGTTCTTGATCCTATTGTGTTGCTGATTATATCAATTGGGCTAAAGGATTGTGATTGATTTAATGAGCTGTCTTCTCTGATATTAAGAAAATGAGAATGTCTATGAGTCATTAGAGACTCAAAAGGTAAAGTGCAACTATATCAGGAAGATTTAAGTAATAACCCAGAACTTAAACCAAGAACAACCCAACAACAAAAATAAAAATGAGAAAACACTTAAGCAAGGCACAAAAACAGACTTCCAGCTAACCAATGGCAAACAGTAGGGCAAATGAGGATGAAAAGTCTGATAGTTAACCACCGGGGACACCCTGAACTCATAGCATAGGAAGTAACAAAGCAGATTAATCAGGCTCTAGAAAAATTCAAAACAGAAATAATTTCCCAGATAATCATAGAGATAGTGAGCAAAATGAAAGTCATGATTCGAGACTCTACAACAGAAACTACAAAAAAAAAAAAAAATGATCTCAGGACCATGATAGAAGCCATGAAGGCTCAGCATAAGAAAGAAATGGAAACAATAAATGCCCAACATAGGAAAGAAATGGAATCCATAAAACTGATTCAAATAGATATCCAGGAGATTAAAAACTCCATTGAAAGTGTACACAACAGAATAAAAGATTGCTAAGATAGAATTTCAGATATAGAAGATAGGATCGCAGACAGTGACCATGAAAAGACAGGTCTCTCAAAAACAATAAGGGATCATGAGAAATCAATCCAACAACTCCAAGATGATGCAAAGAAGAATAACATAAGACTTATAGGAATCCATGAAGTAGCAGGAGAAAATACAAATGACTTAAAAAAGCTGTTCACAGAATTAAAGACAGAAAAATTCCCAAATAGAAGGGAAGAATTTAACATACAGATAAGTGAGGCATACAGAACTCCAACAAGCCATGATTAAAAAAAAAATCCTACACCTAGACATATAATAATCAAGATGCCAGATATTCATCCCACAGAAAAACAAAGTATTACAAGCAGTAAGAGAAAAGAAACAAGCTACATGCAAAGGGAAGCCCATCAGAATCACAGCAGACTTTTCAACACAAACCCTCAGGTCATGGAGAGCCTGGAGTGAGGTATTCCAAGTCATAAAATAAAACAACCTCCAACCTAGACTGTTGTATCCTGTAAAACTCTTTCAAAATGGATGGGGAAATAAGATACTTCCATGACAAAGAACACTTGAGAAACTTCATGAATACCAAACCAGCACCACAAGGAATTCTAAACAATATCCTAGAAAAAGACAATGAAGGTGACAACACCATGAGTTCCAAAAGACCAAATCAATTAGGAAAGACAAGAAACTAAAAGGAGAGAGGGAATAAGTAAAAAGAGTCAACAAAAGGACTATAACATGACAATAATGTCAGTACATATCAGTTATAGCCATCAATGACAATGGCCTCAATTCACCAATCAAGAGAAATAGACTGGCAGAATGGATTAAGAAGCAACATTCAACAATATGTTGTGTACAAGAAACACACCTAGTGCAAAAAGAAGCCAATTGACTGAAAGTGAAAGGATGAAAAACAATTCTCCATGTGACATGAGCCCAGAAAAAAGAATGGATAGCAATCTTATTCGCAGACAAAGTAAATTTCAAACCAAAACTCATGAAGAGAGACAAAGAAGGACACTATATCTTTGAAAAGGGAATGATTCAATAGGAAGAGATGACAATAATAAACATATATACACTAAATATTAATGCCCCAAACTATATAAAACAAATATTAAGTAACATGAAAAACCAAATAAGCACTAATACAATTGTAGTGGGGGATCTAAACACACCACAATCACAAATAGATCATCTAGGCAAAAAAATCAACAATGAAATACTAGAACTGAACCAAGGTTTTGAACATATGGACTTAATAGACATCTATAGAGTGTTCCACCTCACACAATCAGAATATACATTCTTTTTGGCTGCACATGGGTCATTCCCCAAAATAGACCACTATTCTCCAAGATAACTCATAGAACAGGTTTGAATAAATACAAAGAAATTGAAATTATCCCCATGTAACATAGTGCAATTAAGCTGGAGATAGCATAAGAATAGAATAAGAAATTGTAAGAACCTCACAAACACAGGGAGATAGAACAACAGTCTCCTGAACAATCAATGGGTCATAGAAGAAATTAGACATTTTTTACAAATAAATAATAATACCAGTACAACATACAGGAATCTATGGGACACAATGAAAGCAGTTCTATGTGGAAAATTCATAGCATTGAATGCCCACACTAGTAAAACAAAGTGAGCTCAAATAAACAACCTAATGGTGAATCTTAGACTCCTAGAAAAACAAGAACAAGAAAAACCCAAAGCTCATACAAGAGAGGAAATTATAAAGATTAGAGCAGAAATCAGTGCAATAGAAACTAAGAAAACTATACAAAAAAATAAATGAATCAAAGAGTTAGTTTTTTGAAAGAATAAATAAAATTGATAAACCCTTAGCTAACCTTATCAAAAAAGGAAAGAAAAGGCTCACAATCATGAAATTAGGAATGAAAAAGGTGAAGTCACAACAGATCCAACAGAAATCCAGAGGATAGTCAATACCTACTTTGAGAACCTGTACTCTAATAAAATGGAAAACACAGAAGAAATGGACAGATCTCTAAATACTTATGAATTACCAATGTTGAATGAAGAAGATAAAAACATTTTAAATACCCCAATTACAATCAGTGAAATTGAAAATGTAATTAAAAGTTTACCAACAAAGAAAAACCCAGGTCCTAATGGATTCACTGCTGAATTTTACAAGACATATACAGAAGAACTACTGCCACTACTCTTTAAACTTTTCAATGAATTTGAAAAGGAAGCAATACTTCCAGATTCATTCCTGGAAGCAAGTATCACTTTGATTCCCAAACCAGGGAAAGACCCAACTAAAGAAGAGAACGATAGGCCAATCTCCCTAATAAACATAGGTGTAAAATCCTCAATAAGATACTGGCAAACAGAATACAGAGGGTCATCAAGTAGATCATACACCATGACTAAGTCAGGTTTATCCCAGGGATGCAAGGATGGTTCAACATACATAAATCAATAAATGTGATACATTATATTAACAGAATCAAGGAAAAAAAACATATAATCATCTCAATAGATGCAGAAAAAGCATTCGACAAAATTCAACACCCATTCATGATAAAAACCCTGCAAAAAATTGGAATAGATGGTCTATATCTCAACTTAATAAAAGCTATCTATGAAAAACCAACAGCCAACATCATATTAAATGGCCCAAAACTGAAAACCTTCACCTTAAAATCAGGAACAAGACAAGGATGCCCACTGTCACCACTCCTCTTCAATATTGTTCTGGAAACATTAGCCACAGCTATCATTAGACAAGAGAAATAAATTAAAGCAATAAAGATAGGAAAGGAAGAAGTTAAACTGTCATTATTTGTGGATTATTTGATACTATACATGAAAGATGCAAAAAACTCCACCAAAAGACTCCTAGACTTAATTGACACTTTTAGCAGAGGGATTCAAGGTCAACACTCAAAAATCAATAGCCTTCTTGTAAATAAATAACAAACTCAGTGAGAGAGAAATTAGGGAAACAATTCCTTTCACAATAGCATCCAAAAGAATGAAGTATCTAGGAATCAATCTAACAAAAGAAGCAAAAGACCTCTACACTGAAAACTACAGCAGTCTGAAAAAAGAGATCAAAGAGGATATAAGAAAATGGAAAGATATCCCCTGCTCCTGAGTAGAAAGAATTAACATAATGAAAATAGCCATACTACCAAAACTGCTATACAGATTCAATGCAATGCCAATTGAAATTCCAACTCTATATTTCACAGAACTAGAAAAAAAGAATCCAAAAATTCATTTGGGGTTAACCATAGGAGACCTAGAATAGCAACAGCCATCCTAGGCAACAGAGACATGGCAGCGGGTATAACAATTCCACTTTGACAAAGCCACTGTGATAAAAAAAACAGCATGGTACTGGCAAAGAAACAGACCTGAGGATCAGTGGAATAGTTTGGAAGACACAAAAACAACTCCTGATATACTCAGCTACCTCATCTTTGACAAAGGAGCTGACCATCCCATTGGAGGAAAGATAGCTTCTTTAATAAATGGTGTTAGAAAAACTGGATTTCAACCTGCAAAGATTAAAACTAGAACCTCATTACCATGAACTAAATTAAAATCCAAGTGGATTAAAGATCTGAATATTAAAGTAGAAACACAAAACTTTCTGGAAGATAAGTTAAGCAGAACTCTTGAAGACATTGGCATAGGAAGAGGTGTCATGAACAAATCCTCAGTAGCATGAGAAGTAGCAGAAAGAATCTACAACTGGGATCTCATCTTATTAAAAAGCTTCTGCACTGCAAAAGAAACCATCAACAGAACTAAGAGACAACCTACAATGTGGGAAAAAAATTTTACCAGCTGCTCCTCAGACAAAGGACTATTACCTAGAATATATAAAGAACTCAAAATAACCAGCCCCCCCCACCAAATATAAGGACCTGATTCAAAAATGGACATCTAAAATGAAGAGACATTTCTCAGACAAGTAAAAGCAGCAAGTAAATATATGAAAAAAATGTTCCACATCACTGGGCATTTGAGAGATGTAAATGAAAACATCACTGAGATTTCACCTCACCCCACAAAGAATGGCTGCCATCAAGAAATCACACAATAACAAATGTTGGCTGGCGTTGCAGGGAGAAAGGAGCCCTTCTCCATTGTTGGTGGCACTGCAACCACTATGCAAATCAATATGGAGATATCTCAAAGAGCTGGGACTAGAGGTTCCATATGACCCAGCCAGCCCTCTGCTGGGTATCTTTCCAAAAGAATTAAAAGAATCATATCACAGTGATATATGAGCACCTATGTTTATAGCAGCACAGTTTATAATAGCTAAAACTTGGAATCAGCCCATTTGCCCATCAGTTGGAAACTGGATAAAGAAGATGTGACTTTTCTATAAAATTGAGTACTACTCAGCCATAAAGAATGAGAAGTTAGATTCATTCATAGGAAAATGGATACATATTGAGGGTATACTCCTAAGTGAAATAAATAAGTCACACATATGTAAATACTGAATAGTTTCTCTGGTGTGAATAAGCTATAATAGTACATAAGATCCTAATGAGATAATTGACAATGTGAAATAGGAAGAAAAGGGCTAAAGGTGTAGGGAAAGTGGGAAAGGTAGGGGAAAGGTAATAAGGGGAAAAAAAGAGAGAATGAAAAAGTGGAAATAAAGTGTTTGTAAATGGGGAGGGAAGGAGGGGGTGAAGGGAGGGCAGGGACAAGGGGAAAAAATGAGAACCAAGACCTGTCATGTGAAGGTACAGGATCCCAATAATGAATGTAACTGTATCGTATACCTAAAATATACCAATAAACTCAATGAGGGGGAAAAAAAGATTTAAAAGTGCTTTTCAATGACAGGTAGAAATTTATTGTCCAAGTGTGCCTGAGAGGGATCAATGTTGTGATTCATTATTTTTAAATTAGCTGAGATTTTTCTTTTCCAAGTTACTATGGAAAAAGAGAGAAAATGACCATTTATTTCCCAGGCAGAGAGGAGCTGTTTGAAACCCCAGATGGGACAGATCTGAAGATTTCTCCATTTATCTTACAGACTACTGTTCAGAACCTGGTCTCACTCTGTCAGTGGGACCCTGATTAAAACTTTTCTTGATTCAGGCATTTTATAAAGCACATTTTAGGCAAAGCATACTCGAACCACTGCCTTTCCACATTCCTCTTTCTCAATTTTCCAGGGAAAGTGCCTTCATCGCTTAGATGAAAGCATTCTACATAGATAAAAGCATATTATGCTAGAAGAGCTAAGTAAAAAGAACTGTATTCCAACACAAAAGTGAAAAGTGCCCTCTCAACTTGGTCTAAGAATATGATAAAGATATCTTTACAAATTATTACCCTTGTCTATTTATTGTTCATCTGCTTTTACACCTCACCTTTGTCTTACTGTAAAAACTGGACTGAGGAATATTAGAATGTCTGTAAGAGTATTTACCTCTGTAAAGAGTACTTGCCTATCAGGCATACATAGCAGCTTTTGTGGAACTTTGAAAAAAATGCATATGTCCACTACTCAACCCTAGAGATTTTACTTTTATTCAATAGTTTTAGATCTGTCATAAGTATGTATATTTTTTAAAGTTGTAAGATGTTTTTGATATTCATTTTGGCAAGAAAAAATAATAACTTTTTATATCAAACTGTAACTGAAAATATGAAATAATGAAGTTTTGGGCCCTGAAGAAATCTAAATATATTGGATGAATTCTGTCTTCTAAAGTATTAAAATGCTCTGTAGAATATATGAGAAATTTTAAAAATCAAGCAAACCAAAAGAAATATTCAGATATATCCTCAATGTTTTTAAATGAAATCCTCCTCTCCCTATTCTTTGGAGCTTAACACAGGTTGAAAGAGATCACTGTGGTTTTTAGTCCCTTGACCTCATACATTCTTGGAGCTATGTGAGATGAGTCTGGAAAAAATGTGCATTACCTTCTGCTTTTCACCAGTGGGATGCTCTGTGTGGAGCATATGAAGTCACTGCCTAGGACAGAAAAACAGAGCCCGGAGAGCAGAAATATCTTAACTGCAGGCTTCTCTGGTTACTGTGTCTTCAGAGAGTATGGGATATATATTTCCTAAATAATAATATAATAAAAATAAAATAGAAAGCAAATTTCTATCTAATATTCATTTATATGATTAGCCTGTAGATAAGAAATAATCTCTTTTCAGAGTCGCTTGGATGTTTATTTGTCACAGAAACCTGCAGGAACGTCTGTACAGACCATGCTGCACTGGGCCCAGGTACGTGTCTCCACACTCAGCTCACTGACACACCCATATCTTTGTGACGCCCCGAGGAGTACTCCTTGAGACTCACTGCAGGGTTCCGCAGGCACCTGGGGAGACCTCACTCCTCAGTGATTCTGGAATTAGCACCAACTCCTATTTTTGCTTTCCTTTGTTTCCTTTATTCTCCCTGTCTTTAGTGCCTGCCTTATGAGCCTGGTTCCCCCATGTTCTGGCCAAATTCTGGTTCTTAGATTATCCCAAAGTGCCTTTCCAGGGAAAGCTTGCATTTTCTCTTTTGGAACATCAGCAACTGCAGTAGAACTTTATATGAAATGACCCAGTCTATAACAGAAAGACCCGTTCATCCTCCAATTTACATATGATGCATTTCAGAGTGATGAAATAATGTTTTATTTAGAGAAAATTAAATTCTAGGGAGGGATTTAAATAGACTAATACTTTGTGTTTGTACCCGCAATTAAAATTTTATTTGCTTTATTATATTACTCTATACTTGACAAGCTCAGAGATAAGACAGATTCAATTCATATAGCTTCTGAGCCAATATGTGTGTGTGTGTGTGTGTGTGTGAGAGAGAGAGAGAGAGAGAGAGAGAGACAGAGACAGAGAGAGAGAGTGTGTGTGTGTGTGTGTGCACTCATTCTTTCATTGTGGAAATTTTACCTACATTCTTGGTCAGTGACCTTAGTCGCAATCCTTTTGAAAAGTGAGCAAAATGTACGTCATCAGGCCCTGTTCCCCAAACATCCAGACTAGCATTATATTGCTTACCACAAATCCCACAGCTTGGCCCCGCAGATGGGAGGCACAAAGTACACCAGATCTCACAGAGAAAAGTGGGGATCTCAGTGGGTGAATATGCATCCAAAAAGCAACAAAAATGTTTAAATATGGAGAAAAGAGTCATAATAATTTAAACTACTTGAAGAGGTAAAGTATAATATTGTTTAAACAGTAGTAGTTTAACTTTTTCCCCATATTTTTATTAATGTATATTTGTTACATAGATTAGTGGGTTTCATTTGGGCAAAGTTGTACTTGCACATGCATATTTTAACCATTAGTAGTTTTTAATATTGGAAATGTATAGCTGGTAACCAAATACATATATATTTCTATAAGTATATACTATAGATAATTGTCTAGTATGTGCAGCTGCCCAACATGTATTAGGCCTTTGGATTCAAGCCCTAGCATTGAAAAGAAAAAGTTGATGTGCATCCTTGTAACATTTAAAGACTTTGCTGTCTGAGGTTTTGCAGGAGAAAAAGTATGGTGGGAGTAAATTGTGCATTAGTTCTGTGAATTAATATTCATTTTATAAACTTTAGTATATGACTGATGAATCTTTATTATTTTTAGCTTATGTGACAAAAGAATCGGATATAATATCAATCGTCCTTGTATGTTCTTGCTTACTAACTTTAAATTTTTCGTGGTTTCCTTATATCATTTTAATATATGAATTACTTTTGTTTTATCTTAGATTTTTAATTCTGATCGTCTCCAAGCTTTTGATTGGGGAAATCGTGGTCAGAACATGATGCACTTCCACCAGGTACTATGATGATGACTATGATAATAATAATGATGATGATGATGATGATAACAGTTACATGCTGCAAATTAATTATTAAAACTTGCATCCGATCATTAAGTACATACTGCTTCCCATTCACTATGGATGTTTCTTATTGCTGCTATCACATACTGCTTATTGCGTCTTAACTATGTCCCACATCATTATTTCCATCCTCACAATGATCTTTCAAGATATATATTATTATGTCCATTTTTTCCCCAGAGGCTCAAAGTGGTTAGGTCAATTGACAAATGTATTTAGCTAGCAAACAACCAGAATGTTGTTTGGGTCTAAAGTCAAAACCCCCTTTCATGTTTCTTCTAACAAAAACTTTTGGCGTTTAATTAAAACTATGTTGGTAGAGAAAATGAAAGGATACAGTCTTCGTTATTAAAATATATTATCTGACTTCTTATGCCTCTAAAAAAATAAACTAACATTGTTCTAATCATTCTTTGAGATGCCATTTGCTAATCACTTTTAAACAATTAATATATGGATCATTAAAGATATATCCATCTGAAGTATCATCTTTAGGAAGAATTAGCAATTCCTGCCAGGGAATGGTATCAAAATATTTGATACTATCTATGCAAATAGTACTATCAATCTATTTTTTGGAGCAAATAATCTATATAAAAAAGAAACTGTACATTGTTGTTATTTTTCATCAATATGTAAGGATATCCAATAATTATTTAGCTTTTTGATAAAACAAGCTCAAACTGGATTAATGATCATCAATATCAATGATACATGAGTTGTTTCAAATATGTGATATAAAGATTTAGAAAAATTTTAAATTATTTTCAGGGTCATCATACTAACTGTAACAGTAAACATACATAACACCAACTGGTGTAAAAAAAATCTAATTTTTCTTTAACCTGCTCTAGGTAGATATGTCCAGATGCATGCTGTCAGAATTCCATTTTCCTTGGTAATTAATAAATTTTGTCCTAGCAAGAGTATGTAACTTCTTTAGAAAAAGCTTTTTAGATGATGACCTCAGAGACCTGCTTGCATAAAAGTTTGGTCACAGGTACTAGCTTGATCATTGTGCTCACACATTGGGTCAAAATAATGATGACAGAATGATTCAGGTTCAGTTCTAGATCTTTCGCTTGGAACTTCTTGGGAAGAAAAAAGGAAAATCCAAAAACAGAGAATGAACTCTATGTGTTTTTCAAAGTCAATAACTTTAATCACAACAATAATTGAAAGCACTATAAGCTAGATTGCTGTAATTACCAATGTCAATCACCCATAATCATTTATTACTAAGAAAATAAAATAATTTTCTAGATACATACATGCAGGTTTTATGGTCAAATTTTTAAAAGTTTCTGGCTGACAGTTATCAGATGTCATTTGAATGAAAATATTAATATTCATTTTTTGTGATGTCATTTTCTACAACTCTGCTTTCATCCTTAGTAGAGCAATGAAATCACTGGAGTAAAGGAATTCTGATTCAGAGACTCTTGACTTTCTTCGCCTATCAAAGCTGGTGATGTTTGTTACTTTCTCTATGTGGTGTTTTTCTATTCTTCATCATTCTTCATCTATACATTTAAATATTAACACTTTAGGGCCGGGGATTTAGCTCAGTGGTTCGGTGGCCTGCCTTGCAAGCGCAAGGGCCTGAGTTCAATCCCCGGCACCAAAAAATATATATATTATATATATTAACCCTTTGTATTCTGCTTACTGTGAAAACTGTACTCAGGGAAAGCAGCCTCTTCGTTCAGTAGTTGCACTCGACTTTTGGGGCCTGAGCTAAGCTTTCTGGAGCACATCTTCTTCTTGCATGAGGAGTGCTAATCTTCACTCATTTCCTCTCTGCCCTTTGCATTGGCTTCTCAAAACTACACATTCTCATTTACCATTCTCTTTTAAAGCCTATGTGTGAGAAAGCCTTCCTACTACTACAGAGAAAGCAATATACTTAAAATATTTAATAATCCAAAGACCCAGCCACTAATCCATCAAATGAAAGTTACATCCAACCTGACTATAGCAGTGGGCTCTGCCAGAATATCACTTTCCTAAGGGAACTTGAGGCACAGTTCCTCGGTCAGGTTCTCTTCCAGACTTATTTCCATTGCTCTAAGAAATCTCTTCCCATAGAGTATAACAGTTGCCTTTGGTAATATGCCTTTATCTTTATCTATTTTATCTTTCTTATAATCTTTCTATCACAAATAACTAAGGTATGGTGTTCATATTGAGTTGCCACAATAAAATGTCATAAGCTGGGTGATTTAATCCATAGAAATTCATGTTCTTGCAATTCTGAAGAGTGTGTGCCCGAAACTGGGGAGTCAGTATGATGGATTCTAGTGAAGACTCTTCGTGACTTGCAGATGGATGCAAGTCCTAATGTGTGTTCACATGTTCTTTCCTTGATATGTGCTTCTGCAGAAAGAGAGGAGAGAGTGCATGTATGTGAAGAAACGGTCCCTTTTGTGTAAGGCTTCCAATTGTATTGAGTTAGAATCTTATCCTTATGACTTCATTAAACCTTAATAACCTCCTAAAACTCCTGTTGTAGTTAGAATGAAATTTCAGTTTGAATGAGTTTTGAAACTTCCCTAGGGATTGGTTGAACACACTTCTAAGTGTATCTTAGTGGTGGGTCACAAGGGCATGGCCTTGGGGTCTATGTCTGGTCCCTCTTTCTTTTGTACTCTCTGTAGCCCTAATCTGTTTCCTGGGTTCCATGAAAAAATAGAGAAAAGCTTTACTCCACCATGTTCTTCTGCCTTAAGGTTTCTCCCTTTGAATCTGACAATGATACGCTGAATCTCCTAAAACATGAGCAATTTAGCTTAATTTAAAGGCTTAATTTAAGCCTTTCTTTCTTTAATTTGTGAATCCTGGGCATTGTGCCTTAGCATCAGGAACACTGACTAGGGCCAGGAACACTGACTAGGGCCAAGGATTTAGCTCAGTGGTTCCACCACCTGCCTCACAAGCACTAGGACCTGAGTTCAATCTCTGGTACAAAAAAAAAAAAAAAAAATCTGACTAATACAGAAAATTGGTACTAGAGAAGTTCAGTCATTGCTGTACCTGAGCGTGTAGCTTAGGGGCATTTAAAACAGATTTGTTGGAGGAGTTTGGAAAGATTTGAAGATGCAGGCTAGAGAAGTCTTAGAATCCAGTAAGTAGAGCCTGATGGGTGATTCTGCTTGGAGTTCAGAAGACCAGAATGCACACAGTGAAGACTAGGCTTACAAGGCTTCATGTAGGAGAAAGGACTCTATTGGCAGTTGGACTAGAGACCACATGTGTTACACATTGGTAGAAAATTTATCTATATTTTGTCCATGTTCTGAGACTTTGTGGGTTGCTAAAACTAAAGGAAGTGGGCTAATTCACCTGACAGAGGAAATCCCCAAGGCTATAGCATTGGTACTGCTGGCTGCTTTTAACAAGATTTATAGTGAGGACTGGGGGCCAAAAGCAGGGCAGAAAATTTTAAAATTTCAAATTTTGGCCCAAAAGAAATAAATTACCACTTAAAAGAAAGCAAAAATACTTTATATGGAGACCAGGAGAAAGATGTCTTGAGATCATCTCAGAAGTCAGAAAGACCCCACCCACTCCAGGCTTAAGGATACAGAGGTGTCAATTTTTCATTTTAGAAGAGTTCTTGGGACCCCTGCTCAATAAAGACCTCTTATAAAATTGATTCCCTGGTGTTCATTCACCATGCTCAGTCATCGAGTCATTCAGAGACCACTGCAGCCATGGTTCAAGGGAGCATGGCTACTGCTTCTGCTGACAGAAAACCTTGGTATCATTCAAGTGACTCTGGTCTAACCGGCATGTACGATGCAAAAACTGTGGGGTAAAGGAGACTTCCACACAGACTTCAAAGGAAGACCTGGAAAACCAAACAAGGAGCCCCTGAGAAAGCAGTGTATGAAACAACAGGAATGAAGGGAAAGGTGGAGTAGAGAACCCAAGAACTCAAAGATTCCATAAACATGAAATGTCTGCCAAGGTTATCTGAAGGCCATAAATGAAGCCAGACCAAGAGAGAAGTTATGTGTTACAACTGTCAAGGCCATTCAGATGGAATCACCCTTTGGAGCTCACAATTTATCACCATGTGCCCTGGGACTTAATAAGATAAGGAGCTAAAGGACTTAATATTTGCCCTGCTGAATTTCAGTCCTGCTTTGGCCCAATTTTTTCTGTCCCCTTGTTCCTCCCTTTGATATGGCAATATCTATCCTGTGCTATTGTGCATTGGGGTTATAGAACTTAATTTCATTTTTACAGAGCTTCATAGCTAAGAGTTTTCCTTAAATCTCAGAAGGGAATTGGAGTTTCCAAAATTGCTGGAATGGATAAGACTTTGGGAAAGGAACCTTTTTTTTGTTTTTGTTTTTTTTTTGGTTCTGGAGATTCTAACAAATGGCTGTTGCAATTTCAGCCGCCCCAAAAGCTAGGAGGTTCTCAACAACTCTAGCAGAAAGACATCTTGGAGAGTTTCAGTGATGAGCCCATGTCTCATACAATCATTGTAGCATGAAGGATGAAATACTGGTCGGCCAGGCCTGGTCAGTTGGACAGGAATTGTACAGTATCAGTACAGGAAAGAAGGCAGAAAGGAAAACTTCCTGGGAATCTCCCACTGTATTCCTCCATAACAGACTAACTCTTTTTCCATATCATATTTTAGGTGTTGGTTTTTATGCATTGTTATAAATGCTCCCTGAGCACATTGCTGATATCTGAGTGTTAATAATGCTACTGAGCCCAGATTTCTGCACATGAGAGCATGAGAAGGGACATTTATTCTCCCCAACATTTTGTTTTAAGGAAAAAAAATGCACTCTCAAATCAAGTGCTACCTGAAAAATGATTTCGCGTATTTCTAGGAGAACACTTTTCCTTTAAGATTTTTTTTCCCATTTCCTCAAATGTGCAAGTCAGGAGTGCAATGGTTGTCTTCTTTTATTTGAAACACATATTATTTTATTTCAAATGTTTTCAGTGTTGTAAAATGTCTTAACATTTTAAAGGTTCTGTATCATTAAGTGTAGGCCAATTACACACTTTTAGCATTTGAAAAACTTGTTTTAACAACTGATAGCTGATATTACTTCTGTAATGTAATTTTTTCTATTTTTTTTCATTACATTTAGCTTACACCTCCTTTATATAACATTACTAAGATGAAAGTTCCAACAGCAATATGGAGTGGAGGACAGGATATTGTGGCTGATCCTAAGGACATGGAAAATTTGCTTCCTAAAGTTGCCAACCTTATTTTTTACAAAGTGATTCCGCACTACAATCACATGGATTTTTACCTTGGACAGGATGTACACCAAGAAGTTTACCAAGATATAATTAGATTGATGAAACACCATTTATAAAATTAAATACAGTTCCTTTCTTTAATCAAGTGGATTTCTGTATTACTAATGAGGTAGGAAAATCTTAAGGTGCCTCCCAATAATTTTGACCTTCTGGTATCCCCTGTGCTTTAGTAATGGTATAATTTAAATCTTACTTCTAGCCAACAGAAGAGCGAAAGTGGTAGATATCATACCCTCATTTACATTTTAAATCAAACATGATGGGATGTCATTCTCTAATTATATTTCATTATACAGTGTCAGGCACATATCTATAATTCCACCACTCTGCAAGGCTAAGGCAGGAGAATTTCAAGTTGGAGCCCAATGTAGGCAACTTAATGACTTAGCAAGACCCTATGTAAAAATTTTAAAAGAAAATATTAAAAAGGCTGCAAACGTAGCCCACTGTGGAGGGCTTTAGTTCAATCCTTGTTGCTGAAAAAATCTAAGTAGATAAGATATTGTCCTTTTGGCCTGATAAAATAAATAGATGTATTGAGGAAGCCCACACTGCAAAAAATAGTATGTGGCTTTTAGAAGCTTCCTGCTGTTATCTGGTGGGCCTACCTCTTCAGTGCAGAGCAATAGAGGAGCCTGGAAGCAGCACAAGACACTCTGGTAGGCCTGCCCCTTCAGCAGAGAGGAGCAGAGAAGCCCAGCCATGCAGGTGCCAACACAGCAGTGTCTGTTCCCCCTCAACCTGTGAACTAGAGAAAGACAGCCTCTCTGAGGCTCCTAGTTGAAAATTGAAGCCCACTAGAAAAGTGAAGAAAATCCCTGCAATAAAGGCACACCATACCACCATAGCTGGTAAGTCAGTTGGAGGGACCAAAACCTCACAGTGGAACATGGTCTAACTTCAGGGGAAAAACAGCTGGAACCTGCAGTAGAACCTTGCAGAGTTCAACCCAGCAGGAGGTCAGAAATCTCAACTTGGGCCTTGCAGCCAGAAATCAGCCTGAATGATCTCCTCAATAGATGCAGAAAAATCATTTGACAAAATTCAACACCCATTCAAGATAAGAACCCTGCAGAAAATTGGAATAGAAGGTCTTTGTCTCAACCTGATAAACATTATCTGCAAAAAACCAACAGCCAATATCATCCTAAGCTGTCAAAAACTTAAAATCTTCACTCTAAAAACAGGAACAAGACAGGATGCCTATTATCACCATTTTGTTCAATATAGTTTTGGAAACATTAGCCACAGCAATTAGACAAGAGAAAGAAATAAGAGGAATAAAGACAGGAAAGGAAGAAGTTAAACTGTCACTATTTGCTACTGATATGATACTCTACATAGAAGACCCCCCCAAAAAAAAATTTGCCAAAAGACTTCTAGACTTAATTGACAGATTCAATAGAGCAGCTGGATACAAGGTCAACACTCAAAAATCAATAGCATTCTTGTACACAAATAACAGACACACTGAGAGAGAAATTAAGGAAACAATTCATTTAACAATAGCATCCAAAAAAAAAAAAAAGAAATATCTAGGAATCAATGTAACAAAGGAGAAGAAAGACCACTAAATTGAAAACAACAGCATGCTGAAAAAAAGAGAAAGAAGATGATATAAGAAAATAGAAAGACACCCCTTGTTCCTGGGTAGGAATAATCAACATAATGAAAATGGCCATACTTCCAAAACTGCTATACAAGATTCAATGCTATCCTAAATGAAATCCCAACAGTATATTTCTCAGAACTTGAGAAAACAATCCAAAAATTCATTTGGGACCAGAAGAGACCGAGAACAGCAAAAGCCATTCTAGGCAACAGAGACATGGCAGGGAGTATCACAATTCCCAATTTGAAAGTATACTACAAAGCTACTATTAATAAAACAGCACGGACTGGCGAAGAAACAGATCCAAGGATCAATGAAATACATTAAAAGATGCAGAAACAGCAGACATACTCAGCTACCTTGTCTTTGACAGAAGAGTTAACCATCCTCACTGGAGAAAAGATACCCTCTTTGATAAATGGTGTTGTAAAAAATGGCTTTCAATTTGCCAAAGATTAAAACTCAATCCTATCTTTCACTATGCAGTAAACTAAAATCTGAGTAGATTAAAAATCTAAGTATCAAAGCAGAAACACTAAACTTACTGGAAAATAATTTAGGTAGAACTGTTGAAGACATTTGGCATAGGAAAAGTCTTTATTTACAAATCCTCAGCAACACGGGAACTTGCACGAAGAATCAATAACTGGGATCTCATTGTATTTTAAAATGTTTTTGTAGTGCAAGAGAAACCTCCAACAGAGCTAAATGACAACCTATAATGTGGGAAAAAATTTTTTACCAGTTGCTCCTCAGACAATGGTCTGGTATCTAGAATATATAAAGAATTACAAAAGTCAGGCCACCAAAATATAAAGACCTGATTAAAAACTGGGCATCTGAAGTGGACATTTCTCAGACAAACAAGTAAAAGCCCCAAATAAATACATGAAAAAATGTTGAACTTCACTGGTCACTAGAGAGATGCAGATGAAAACAACACTGAAATTCCACCTCACCCCACAAAGAATGGCTACTATTATGAAAACCAATAATAGATGCTGGTGGGGTTGTGGAGAGAAAGGAACCCTTCTTCATTGTTGGTGGGAGTGCTGACTGGTGCAACCACTGTGGAAATCCATACGGAGATACCTCAAAGAACTAGGATTAGAGGTCCCATTTGACCCAGCTATCTCCCTGCTAGGTATCTTCCCCAAAGAATTAAAAGAATCATACCATAGTGATATATGCACACCCATGTTTATAGCGGCACAGTTTGTAATAGCAAAAACTTGGAAACAACCCAAATGCCCATCAGCTGGAGACTGGGTAAAGAATGTGTGGTTTTTCTTGTAATATGGAGTACTACTAAGCCATAAAAAATGGAAACTGGAGAGATTAATAGCTAAATGGATGTTCATTGAGGCCATACTCAAGTGAAATAAATAGGACAAGTGTAAATACTGAATAGTTTCTCTGGTATGAAAAACTAAAAGAGTAAATAAGGTTCAAATGGTATAATTGATAGTGTGAAATAAGGAAGAAAATGGCTAAAGGGGAAGTGGGAAGGAGAGGGAAAGGGTAATAAGGGAAAAGAAAAAAATGTGAAAAATGGAAAAAATGGAAACAAAATCTTTGTAAATAGGAAAGGGTGAAGAGAGGGCAAGGGTATGGGAAAAAAGAAGAACCAAGACATATCATGTAAAGGTACAAGATCCCAGTGATAAATGTAGCTGTATTGTTTGCTTTAAATGTACCAATAAACTTCATGGGGGAAAACTCTTCCTGCTGTTAAGCAGCAAAACACAGAGCCCTCAGTCATAGTCACACAAATATGAACTCTGCCTGAAACTTGCTTGAGCATGGTAGTCTGTTCTCTATAACAGAGCCTGCCGTTGTGAGAGAAGCTTTGACTGCAGCTCGTGAGACCCTGGGATAAGGATTGTGTTCCATCATGTGCAAGCTGCTAATCTACAGAAATAGAAAGATAATGAATACTACACTTGATCTTAGCCAAAAGGCCGAGAAGTGATAGGAGATAATGAATACTTATGATTCTAACCTGCTAAATTTATACTAATTTGTTTTCAACAATGGTAAAGTACTGCTAATTATTATTCTTAATGTATAGTAAATTATTTAATAAGTATATAGTTATTATATTCTAAATTGTAATATATGCTGTTATATAATCCTATAATACTGTATTATGTAAAACATTCTACTTATGTTATATTTTATGTTAAATCATAATATATCATCATTATTATTATTTTCTCTCTGGTTGAAAGCTTTTGTATTTCATTTACTTTCTTTTGGCCTAATGCACTTCCTTCATTAGCTTTGCAGACCTGCCTGTGATTGATTTACTCAGTGTTTATTTGTCTGAAAAATTCCTTTGCTTTCGTTTCTTTTTTTCCTCTCTCTTTTTTTTTTTTTTTGTACTGGGGTTCGAACTCGGGTCCTCGGGCTTGCAAGGCAGGCGGTGGATTTGCTTTCTTTTCTAAAGGAATTTTTTTCTGAGAATAGAGTTTTAGATTGAGGCAGTTTGTATTTTATTTTTCCAGTGCTTTTTAAGTACTCTATTTTCTGGAACACACAATTTTTGATAAGTCTGAGTTTCTCATCTTTCTTTTTTCTTAATGTACCTTTTTCTTCATTTGCTTTAAAAAGTTTCTGTTTATAAATTCTGTTAGCTTTGCAGCTCTATGGCAAAATACCTGAGATTTATGTTGCCTCATGGGTTTAGAAGTTTTAAGCCATGGTCAGCTGGCTCCATTGCTTTTGGTCATGTGATGAGGCAGAATATCATGGTGTGGAATGCATGTTGGAACCAAACTACTCATCTTGCAGCAGCTGGGAAGGAGAAATGAAGAAGTCTGTTCCATGTGTTCTTCAAGAGCAAGTGCTCAGGGACTTGCTTCTTCCAATTAGTCCTCTCCTCCTAACGTTTCCATCACCTCCAGTGACACCATCCGCTAAGGACCAGGCTTTCAACACACAAGCTTCTGAGGGATACTGAAGATCTAAGCCACATGTGGGTGATGTCCAGCAATTTGATTCAGATGAACCATGTTGTGATTTTGATGTATCTGCTGCCTCAACATTCATGGGCTTCTTGTATCTGTGGATTTGTAGTTGTCATCCAGTTTGGAAAATTTTGCGCCATTATTTCCTTAAATAGTTTTGATGCCCCCTTAGGCCACTTAGTACTGACACACTAGACTTTGAAGTTGTGTTTTCCAATTATTTTCCTTTGTGTGCTCCATTTTAGTTTCTGTTCCTACGATTTCACATTTATAGCATTTTTTCTTTTATAGTATTGTAATCATATCTGATACATTTATTGTTTTACATATTACGAATTTCATCTCTAAAAATTCCATTTGCGTGTTTTTAAAAATATGTTTCTCTCGTTTTTTCATGTTTTCCTTTAAATCTTTGAGCACTATAATCATAAACATGCTTCCTGCTTATGCAATCATTGGTCACAATAAATTTGTT